AAAGCAAAAATAAACTCACCACCAGGGAGTTCTGGATGATGGAGCGGAACAACACGTTGGTTGATCGCCCCCTATGAGCCTCCATGTCGGCCTCGAAGTGCAGTGTCTCACTCACTGCATTTGCGACATGAGGATCCGACAGAATAGAATCGTCGACCCTGATCACTCGGTTCATGTGATCAGTGGCTCGGGGATTCCACTCCGCGGCCTCCACTGGAGGCGGAACGGGAGGAGGAGTCTGCTGCTGTTGTTGTTGTTGCTGTCGGGGCTGCTGCTGCTGTTGCGGAGGAGCATGCGGTAATCCACGGCCCCTCCCGCTTTGCTGCTGAGCGGGAGGTGCCCTGGATCCTCGGCCAAGACTGTCATGCCGATGCTTGACCCTTCTTTCCTCCTCCACCTGAGGGTCCCGGTCTCGTACCTAACCCCGACCAAGGACCCTTGATGATGGGGTGGAACTGGTCCCTGCAGAGGGGGTGCCTCCGGTCGTTCCTCGACCTCTCCTAGCTGCAAGGGTCTACCTCTGCCTTAAGAACCCGAGGTCAATACGAGGAGTGTTTGACATCGCGACTTCAAGCGCGTCCTCGACGTCCAGAGATTGAAGAATTTGAAAGTCAGGCCACAAGTCTCCTCCCGGAGTCCCCACCTCGGCGTCCGAAGGAGCAACGTCCTCTCTGACCCCGACCTCTTCAGCAACTCCCTCGACCTCTGCCTCCGAGGCCCGATCCGGGTCTTCCTCCAAGTTTTCCTCAACCTCTAACCTCGCCGCCTGATCGAAGAGTTCAGACCACCGCGAAGGATCAAAAGGCTGAGGAAGCTGAGAAAATTTCTTATACCCTGGGGTATAGTTCAGCAGGACGTGGGCAGCTCGGCCAAATCCGTCGTCACCCGTGAATCTCCAAACCGTGGTTAGGTCCGCAAAGTTCACCAGCGACCGAGGCGGAGGAGCTGTTTCCCGAGCAGAAATACCTGCACAAAAAAAAATTGTCATGAGCATAGGAAATCTGGGGAAAGAAGTAATAAACTCAGAGGAACCGACGTACTTGTCGTTCTCCATTCCAGAGGGCAAAACAAGTGATTATACTCGGGACTGACACCTCTCTGCCAAGATCCCTTGAAGATGAGGATATCGTCCTTATACCCCTTGTCCGAGTCAGGAAGGTGGGTTACAAGGTACATGGAGGGGTCCCTGGCTTTGAGGTAGAAGTGTTGGTGAGGCATGACCCTAAGGAGGGAATAACAAAACAGGAGGTCGTTGAGCCCGATATTTACCCCGAGGCGCCTATTGAGCTCTAAAACCCCCATGATTATTTGGAAGACATTAAGGCAGCATTGCCCGGGGAAGAGGCGGAAATGAGAGAGGAACTGAAGAAGCAGGGGGGTAAAGGAAACCTAATTCCACCCTCTATGATGGCCTTGGTATAGAAAGACATGGCATCCTCGGCCCCGAAGGTGGAAGAGTGCACCACCGGGTCGGGATCCTCTACGACTACGAACGGAGGAATGTCATACTTGGCCCTAAACCTATCGATCTGCTCGTCGCCTTTTACCTTATATTTCCCTGACCCCGAAGAACCAGCCCGAGGATTCTCGGGAGCAGGGCGACAGCGAGGCATCTCTAAAAGAAAAGGAAGAAAAGGGTATTTGTTCTTAAAAACCCGAGGAAGTTTCCCGAGGGTTTAAATCACGACGTGTCGACCGGATGACACCACCATTCAATCGGAAAACAAAAAGGCTAGGAGGACCAAAAGAAAGAAGGTTCTGAAACTCACCCGAACGTCAAAAATGAAGTTTTTCTGGAAAAACTTTAAAACAACTCCCTCCAGGAAGTTTAGGAATCGACAATGGGTCTGCTGGCTCTGTGATTTTGAGAGAAAGGGCAATCGACGATGGCAGAAGAAACAAGAACTCCGGCGAAGATTCAAGAAGAGGTACTCTGGGAAAAGTTTGAAATGGCAAAACGAAGGAAACCGGAGAGGAACCCCCTTTATATAGGGGAAATTTTCATCATTGGCGCGCGAAGACCGAAACGGCACATTTAATGCGCACGACATCCCAAACCAGGGAAAGCGGCTCGAGGCCATGATAAAGGACGGGTGGTAGTTGGGAAACCCTTCGTCTCCTTACAACGCGTGTCCTCGGTGTCAGAAGATCGAAGGCTGGGGGGCAGTTGATGGGACTCTTTTGAAATGCCCTATGATGAAGACAAGTGTCCTCGGGGTTTGTCAAAACACTGTTGCTTGGATCAAGCGCCATCAGCGAACGAATGTCCTCGCCCCCGAGGTACCTCATATAGGATCATGCATTCAGTATATTGTACAACCAACACGTGTCCTCGGTCACCCATGTACCTCGGTCGCATACCTCCCTCGGTCCCCGAGATGAGCCTTTCCTCGGTGCCGAGGGTTGCTCCATCCTGGACGCTTCCTCTACTCCAGGATAAGCTATTGACGTATAGGTCACTAGCCTAGGCTAATCGAAGCTGCTCATCATGACCTCGTCTTACACAAGTAATGTCAGAACATACTGGAATACAGTAGTCACAGCCAATAGGGGATGGACGTGTGGCAAATGATGTCACGTCAAAGACAGGCAAACTGTACGCCGTTACTGACACACGGCTTGGGAAAGCAAACAATTAATTGCACCCTTCTGATGACGAGACCGCATTCAATGCGGTAAGGTTCGGATATGAAAGGCAATAAATGCTCCTATTGCAGAGCATTTATTGCATCCTCCCCGAAAGGAGCATATTGTACCGTCGGCATCCCGATGACTCAGCATTGATTGCTTGGGACCCCGAGCAGTCAATTAGAGAAGATATTCCTCATCAGAATCAATGCACACGCTACCTGTGCCTAATGATCACCTACTGACCACAATCATGAGCTTTTAAGGTATAAATACTCCTCCCAAAAGGCAAAGGAGGTATGCAACAAAAAACTCTCTACTGCAATACATCTTTCTCAGTCTTTTTCTTTTTCCTCTCTCTCATTCAAAGACTGATTAGACCGTCGGAGGGGATACGTCGGAACACACTCCGGCACCCTTCTAACTTGTTCCTCTTTATTCCAGGAAAACCTTTCATACGTACAGGATTGTTCTTCCTTTCCCAGGATCTTCCGTTGCCGTTCCAGGTTACCACCGTACCTTGCAGGCTGTCTCAAGCAGCGTGTTTGGCCACTCAACCGGCTCACTCAAAGTTCACCAGGGGAGAGATCTGTTCCCAATTTTTTTATATTGTGCAGGATCTTGCCCGCACAGGTATATAAAGACTCATCAAGTACTGTTTTTATCAAGAACAGGCTCATTCATTGCCAATACAAGAGCCAAAACTATTGTTTTACCAAAGTAAATTTCAACCCAGAAATGGCACTGCATGGTGTTCCAGAAATTTCTTTGAGTTCAGGAGAAAAAATCCCTGTCTTGGGACTGGGAACAGCAACTTTCCCACCTGTAGCAGCAGAAATTGTTATAGAGGCAGTGCTTCAAGCAATTGAGCTTGGTTACAGACACTTTGACACAGCATCTGTTTATCAAACTGAGCACACTCTTGGTGAAGCTGTGGAAGAAGCAATTCGTCGAGGCTTGATCCAATCTCGCGACGAGCTCTTCATCACCTCCAAGCTATGGTGCAGTGATTCTCATGCCCAGCATGTCCTCCCTACCCTTCAGAAGACCCTACGGTGATATAATAATTCAATCTGGTAACTTCATATATATAATAATTTAATATATAAATAATTTTATTTTTTCATATAGATAAAAAATTATATATAATTATACTTCTGATAAATGAATTCAAAAGAATTTAAAAATTTTTAGAAAATAATTCAAAACAAATTGAAAGTTAAATACAAATAAAAAAAAAACAAAATTAGATGATAGTATGTAAGTGTGTATAATTGACTTAAATTCCCTGATGCTATTGTTTGTGTAGGAATTTGAAGTTGGAGTACCTTGATCTCTACCTCGTACACTGGCCTCTGAGCATGACATTAGGGAGTTATGAGTACCCACCAAAGCAAGAAGACGTGCTTCCAATGGACATCAAGTCTGTTTGGACAGCCATGGAAGAATGCCAGAGACTGGGCCTCACAAAATCCATTGGAGTTAGTAATTTTTCATGTAAAAAACTTGATGACCTCCTTGCCATTGCAACTATACCACCAGCAGTCAATCAAGTTAGTCTTCTTTCATATTTCTATAGAGTAGCACAACGATAGAGATTTCGTATCACAATCTTACTATGCAATTTAATCCAATGCTTACTAGGCGAAGAAGCTAAAAATTAAATAGAAAAACATATCAAATTCCTTTACTAACTAATAAAGAAACTACGAGACTATGACTAATTATGATGTGTTAATGATGGTAAGAACGATTAAAATTGAAAAATATGCTAATAAAATCTGTTTTAATTGATCTTAACAGGTGGAGATGAACCCATGTTGGCAACAAAAGAAGCTGAGAGAGTTCTGTAAGGCCAATGGAATTGTTGTTGCTGCTTTCTCTCCTCTGGGAGCAGCAGGAACCAGCTGGGGCTCCAACAGAGTTATGGAGTCTGAGGTGCTAAAGGAAATTGCAAAGGCCAAAGGAAAGACCATTGCTCAGGTGCTTCTCACATGGCTTCCTCAAATTGATACATGCATTAAATAGCAGTAGGGACCAAAATAATAAAAATTGAATATTGTAGGGACTAAATTGATAAAATTGATACGACGAAAATTAAATTAAACTGACAAAAAATACATACTTTAAGGATAAAAATGCTATTAACCCATTCTTTTTCCTTTCCAATGTGTTCAACTATTTACAGCAAATGCTTCAAGCACCATAGAAGACTTATTTGTTAGGGGCCAAATTATAGTTTACATTGTAGTTTGAGTCATTGATACGTTACCTCCTTATATTCTAGAAACTTCCACATAACCCCATGATTTTTTGAGCTAGAGTGGAATAGCGAATGGGGTTAACAATCTAGTAATACACTTCATCTTTGTTTCTTAAAATTGTTAATTTTCTTCCTAAAAATTTTATGAAAATGAAAAATCTATTTGATGCAAGTAAAGGGGGGGGAGAGATAATAGGTGTAAAGGAACAAAAAAATATTGGGTACATTTTTAGTCCCCAAAGTATGTGTATAATGTCTATTTAGTTCCCAATTTTTTAATTGCGTCTATTTGGTTCCTAAAATTTCTAGTTTGTATGTAAGTGGTTCAATCCGAAACATCTATCAAAAAATTGTTAATGTGTCACACACCAATCACATGAGACCAATGGACACAAATTAGAAACTTTATTAACCAAATAGATACAAATTTTGGAATCACGTGATTGGCGTGTAATCAGTTTCCTCATGATTTTCTGACAGACGTTTAGAATTGGATCACGTATATACAAATTAAGAACTTTAGGGATCAAATAGATAAAATTAGAAGATTGGGGACTAAATTGGGTTAAACACATACTTTGAAGACTAAAAATATATTTTACCCAAAAATATTTTAGCATGTTATTTTATTAAAAATGTTCAGTTTTGACCTTCAACTCATCAGTTTTAATGAAATTTTTAACATTTTCAATTTAATCCAAAATCAGAAGTTGTACGTAGATTTTTAAAGTATAAAGAGGCAGTGTTATTGGATCAAAACAAATAATCTATATTTGTTAAAATGTAGGTTTGTTTGAGATGGGAGTATGAACAAGGGGTTGTTATTGTGGTGAAGAGCTACAACAAGGAAAGAATGCAGCAAAACCTTGAGATTTTCAACTGGGAATTGAGCGAAGAAGAGTCTAAGAAAATTGGTGAGATCACCCAAAATAGAGTACATCGTGGAGAGGAGTTCATCTCACCCAATGGGCCTTTCAAGACAATTGAGGAGCTATGGGATGGAGAACTTTGAAGGCGATTCACAAGAGAGTCGCCCATAAGTCCCTTTGACCGAGATATGATTATCTGTGTAATCTGATCGATTGATGTTTATGATTATGCATAAGTATTTATATATAATACTGGTCATTATCCGTGTTTGAAGGCATTATATAACAAACAAATAAAAATTAAAATAATTATCCAAATTTAAAAAGAATGACCTAAAAATATTTATGCTAATTCTTTTTTTAAAATTACTTGAAATATATCGTCAAACATATCTGAAACTATCATAAAAATATATAAACACTCCCCAAAACAATGTCACATATACAAATGACTTTTGGAAAAAATTTCAAAAATATTGACATAACTAATTAAAATTTACAATCTTTAAATAATAAAACAAATCTTGTTCATTTATAAAACTCATGAATTTATCACATTTACTACCACTCAATCTAATAATACACCATAATTATAAACTCAATCATCATATTTTTAATTTAACTTATTCTCATGTAATAAATACCTCAAGCAAAAAAAAAAAAAATACTAACAGAATACAATATTAAATTTACAATCTTTAAGCGATAAATAAAATTAATCAAATCTTACTCATTAATAAAACTCATGAATTTATCATTAATATTACCATTCAACCCCAAATGACACAATATAATTGTAAATTTAATTACCAAATGTTCAATATTCCACATATAAATATACTCAGAAATACATCAACACACATTTCTTTTTTGATTACCAACAAACTCTTTTAACCAATAACTGTTTTATTAGAAATACCATAATTCAAATTTTTTAGATAAAATAATAATATATTAATGTTTAATTAAAAATAGGATAAAATTCAAGGGGCATCCCCTGAGTTTTGATAATATTACACGGATACTTCATGATATTTTATAAATAACATAGACAACCCCCTGAGGTTTGAAATTTATTGCACGGATACCCTCTCTGTTTCCCCTTCCGTCAATATTACTAATGAAAATTGATAATTTCATCAAAAAAAAATAATTACTTACAATTGTCCTTCTCTAAATTTAGTAAAAAAAATTAAAAATTTAATAAAATCAAATAAAATTTGACTTAGTAAAAAATTGATATAATTTAGTAAACCAAAAAATTGATTAAATAAATTTCAATATTAATTTGATAACAATAAAAATTAGTTTGATATTAATTCGACAAAGTTGAACACAAATTAGACAAAATTAGATATCAATTTTTGATAAAATTATATATTAATTTATAATGTAAGGTTCATTTGGAATTGAATATTATTTAGTGTTTATTTTTTATTTACAATAAGTGTTATTTATATGTCGTTAGATATATAAAAACGTTGAATTAGTATAATGAAATAAATAATTGCATAACATGTTGTTTTATCTGATTTATGGGATTAAATAATAACAAAAAAAATAAGACAAAAAAAATAATTGCATGAGAAAGAGAGAGAGAGAGAGAGAGAGTTATATGAAAAATGAGAGTCTTAGAGTTATATAAAGAATTAAAGTCCAATTAGAACCGTTGGATCAAAATGATCTAAATCACAAAAAGTTCAAGACAAACAAACTAACTACTTTATTATATAGATATTGAGTTCTTTCCTTGGTGTTGTGGCTTACTTTTAAGGTTGATAATTATAGTCACTTTCAATTTTCACCCACGATTGGAATATTCATTTAAAAAGTAATATTTTCGTCCAAAAAAAATAGAGCATTCACTCAAAAAGTAATATTTTTACCCAAAAAATAGAATATTCACTCAAAAGTGATATTTTCACTTAAAAGTGGAATTTTCACACCAAAAAAAAAGGGTAGTATTTTCACATAAAAAGTGAAATTTTCATTCACAAGTGGTATTTTTGCCCAAAAAATGGAATATCCACCCAAAAAGTGGAATTTTCATCCAAAAGTGGTACATTTACCCAAAAAGTGGTGTTTAAACCCAAAATTAGTATTTTCACCAAAAAAATAGAATATTCACTCAAAAAGTGGAATTCAACAAAAAAGTAGTATTCTCATCCAAAAAAGTGAAATATTCACTCAAAAGTAAAATTTTCACTAGGAAAAATGAAATTTTTACTCCAAAGTTGTATTTTCACCAAAAAAAAAATGGTATTTTCAGTCAAAAAGTAGTATTTTCTCCCAAATTATGGAATTTTCATCCAACAAATGGTATATTCACCCAAAAAAAAGTAGAATATTCATTTAAAAAAGTAATATTCACCAAAAAAGTGGTATTCTCACCCAACAAAACGAAATACTCACTCAAAAAGTGGAATATTCACTCAAAAAATGAAATATTCATCCAAAAATGGTATTTTAACCCAAAAAGTAGAATTTTCACCTAAAAAATGGTATTTCAAGTATCAATTTTTTTTTAATTGTTTTGTGTTTAATAAAACTTAGCTATATGATTCAATGCTAACATGCCATAACAAACAGCCATTAAAATCATTGAGAAATTAAACATAATAGTTAGGGATGACAGTGGACTAAGGTAGGGAGAGTAGTATTCACCCTTGTACCCGTTTAAAAAATGTTTGTTTATCCCGAGACCACTCCTATTAACGGAAAAAGTTTTAAATCTTGCCTCCACCCTACGGGTAAATTATGATCCCCACCCCCGCTCCCCACCTTCGCCTTCTCCTTCGCCTTTGCCTTCACTCCACCTCTGCCTGTGCCGTTGTGGGCGTGTAATTGAAGTGATCACAAATCAAACAACCAAAAAAATCACATATTATTTTTTGGTATCACACCAAAAAATAGGGGTCTCTGTTACTCAATGGCAAAGCCACACACGAGGCCCATCCTCAAATTTTTTGGAAAAAAAATTATATATGTGTATATTTTCATATATTTTGAACAATATGTAAATATATTTTACATTTGCCCACTCTATGACTTTCTTACTTTAATTGTTTAATCATTTTCATTGTGTTAAGGCTTTATACAATTGACCTTGTTGTTCATATTTATCAATTTGGATTTAATAAAATTAATTTGGAAGTGAAAGTGCTTGTAATTCACCTTCAATTATTTATTTTTTTTGTGAGAGTGTGTCTCTATTTTATTTGATTATTGATTGTAGTGTTTATGATATTTCAATCAATTTTTAAAATTTGTACTTTGTTTAGTTTTTAAATTTTAGTTTAGCTATGCTATTCCGCTATCTCAATGATAATATTTAGAAGATAGATTATGAAATAAATTAAAAAAGTTGAAGAAAGTAAAATCCGGCCGCGTAAACTAATGGATGATTAGTGAATGATCGATAAATTTTCAACTATGAAAAGGCAACTAACCCACTTTTTTACAAAAGGTGTTAATTAGTTCTTATATATAATATTAGTTATTATCTGTGTTTGAAGGCATACAGTAATAAAAAATGATAAATAATAAACATATTTGTATTCATATCTAAAATTAAATCACAAATATAGATGAGAGATAAATAAATGTAAGCATTGGTTATAGTGGGGGTGAAAGGTGGTGAGCGGCAATAATGATGGTAGGAGACGGTGATAGTTGTGGTGGGTAGCAATGACCGTGGTGGCGATTGCAACGATGGTGGTGGCAACTGTGGCGATGGTGGTGGTGATGGTAGTGGCGGCGACAATGGTAATGGTGCGGGTGGTGGTGGCGGCGACTGCGGCAGTGGTAGAGGTAGTGGTGGTGGTGGAACGATTTCAAATACTATTTTTTTTTAAAGTACTTATGAGAAATAATTTCTCAAAATACTTTTAAAAATTCACTTCAAAAACACCCTTAGGACCCTATTTTTCTATTAAATTTAGGGTATTAATATTAACTGTTAGATTAATTTTAAAGTAAAATTTAAAACGATCTGAATCGTAAAAATAAAAATTATTTTATTTATTTTTAAAATTTGAATTATAAGTTACTTTATTATATATATATATATATATATATATACGTTAAAAATAATTTTATACATCATTTTTTGACTCTGTTATATTGAACGGGTTTCATAGAGGCACCCATTCAAAAAATTACAGTTGGGAAGACTACCAACCTGCAGAGTGAATGTGAAAAGCTAATAGTTTGTGTCAGTCCTAATAGTTAGCTCTACCTCACCTGGTTGACTCATGAACTCGGATCAGAAGATAAGATTATCCGTTATTTGAAAATCAAAGAAACTCCCAAACTAAATCAACCGTCATTAATTGAAGGGAAAGTAGCTGAGAATCCTTTGGCCAACTCATGAACTCAAAACCGTTTGGGCTCACTTTATAACCAGGTTTCTTAAAAATTGTAAACACTGGTGATATCAAGAAACCTATTCAACTTTTAGGATGAACAAATTGACAAATACGTTGATCGTCTTGAAGAAGGGAAAAACAAGAATCATCAAATTATTACTTGATTTCGAAACATCTCAACGCCATACATCTGTCACTAGCTTGGTCATCTTAGCACCGCTACAATCATTTGGGACTTCCTCAACAAACGCTACACGATAACAGATCATGCTCATTAGTATCAACTTCTTTGTACTCTTCACAATTTGCGCCTAGATCCTGGTCAGTAAATCAATAGTTTTGTATCACAAATATACCCTATTTGGGATCAATTGACACCATCTGAGCCTAAATGGAAATGTACGGATGAGGATGTGAAGTTTATTACTAATTGTGATCAACAACGTTTAATTATGTTCCTCGTAGCTCTCACCGATACTTTTGAGCCCATTTGAGCATCTCGTCTCCGTCGTAATCCTTTACCTACTTTGGAAGAAGCTATCTCTGAGCTGTTTTCTAAGAAAACCTGTCTTGGCACTATCCAATCACATCATCCAAACGTTGTTCTCGACACTCATCATCCTCCGGGCAATAGAATATTCACCCAAAAAATAAAAGTATTTTTTTTAGGAAACAATTTCTTTGCCTATTTTCTTACCTATTAATACTAGAACACACGATCAATTCAGATAGACAAAAAGAATTCGTAGTACAATTTCAGAATCATTTGGTTTCTTGTTGAATGTTTTTTCTATTTTGATGCTGAAGAAAATTCAGACAATTTCCAGATGCGCAAGTCCTTCAAATAGTTTGTCTCAATTGTATCAGGGGACAATGAGATACATAATTTTTTTTTTTTCGCTCTTGTAATTGTGTCATTGAAAACATGGTAAATTCGTCAACAAAATAATAATTATAGATTTCATCCTTACCTTATTTGTTTCGATATACTTTCAAAGGTGTAATAAGAATTATTGCAATGGACATGGCCACCTAGGGCTGTCGTCCAAATAGAAATCTCTTGGCACAGAATATGATTGAAAAAGGTGGGACAAATTTAATCTGTTAGGTGAAAAAAGAAAAGATTAACATCAAGAAAGCAAAGGTAAAATCTTCACCGAAGAAAAAGGTAGCCACCAGCCACAAAAAGAAACCCAATAACAATAAGGATGTTGCAGTGAAAGAAAGCTCATCCAAGGGTTATCAGGAACAGAATCCATGCCAGAAGATACAACTCAAAAAAGAGCGAGATCCCTCCAATATTTTTCTCCGTGCTAAAGTAATTTACGTTAAATTTAAGAGAGACTCATTATATATATGTTGACCCCTCATCAATGCATGGGAGCGATTTACAAACCCGAAAATATGCCATGTGATATCTATTTATTGACAACTGAAAGTCATGCTTTGCAAACGTTACATACAAACCAAACATAATGAGTAAGCAAATGACTTGGTTATACAGAAGACAGAGAGACTTCCTCTCTGCATGCATACCAATTCCAGTTTACTTTGCACTACTACACGAAGTCATGGACAGCAGTGGGAAGCATCTATAAGAAACACTTAATAGAGCCTGAGTTCAGGTTTAGCAACGTACAGGCCTTTCGTAGGTAGGTGGTAAAGAAGGGCAATTCTCGTTCATGTTGGCGTATGGCTCTAAAGAGTTGTACTCTGGCAATTCCATTCGATATTCACCCAGAATCTGGCAGAACGGGAGTTGATCATCTCCACTGTTGCACCAGATAGGCAGTTGTGTTTGGTTATCCATGAATATTTTCAGCATGTAAGCATCCCGAATCTGTCAGCAGCAATAAGGCCAAGTCATGTATTGTGATCATGGTAACTGGTAAGAATCATCTAGAGGAAGACAACATTAACAAAATATTTGGTACTCACAGTGAACTCGGTTACTTGAATGGAGTTGGTAATAGAACCAAAGACTCCGGCTTCTTTATACATTGCCAATATGAAGGCAACACATGTTGTAGATTTCCCATCACTGTATACCCATTCATCTTGTTCAGGAATTGTAAGTAGTTGATCAAAGGTTATGCCACGCCTTTCTGTCTCAGAAAGAATTCCATACAAGTCTAAATCCTGTTAAAAAAATAAAAGTGACATCCATCAACTCGACAACAAGTAACAGAGACAGTTGGGAAAATTCACCTCAAGATCAGAAAATGGATATTAAAAAGTATATTCTAGCATTTGTCAATTGAAGAGGGTAATGATGCTAATTTCTCTTATTGCGCATCTCCGCAATTTTTGTTTATGATATGGGCTCCATCTACCAAACAAAATCACAAGTATCACGACTCAACTACTCTTAGTGAAAAGCTGGTTGAATAGTTATTCATAGGTTAGGATAGCCTGTGATCAGAATTTATCTTAGAAAAAAGTTCAGATACAAAACTTTTTCCAGTTCTATATTCTTCTTTACCATGTCACACGGATGCCCCAATTGGTTGTCTTCGTCTCTTAGTCACACAGAGCAGGAACATGCCAGAGACCCAAAATGGGGTGCCATATTGGTAGCCTTTCAAAGTTATCAGTGTTGGAAGTCAATATATTGGAACTAAATCAATCTATGAAACTCAAACACAAGTTCAGCTCTTAATATGCTATGCCTCGTCCATCTCTTCTACAAAAATTCTGTTCCATTGGATTTTTTTTTTTCATATTTCTTGATGTCCCTCTTAAGAAGGTAGCTTAGGAACAAAAAGAAAAGAATTTGTTGCAGCACTAAATATACATTTTGGAGCTAAACTATACTAACCAAAATCCAAAAAAATATCTCACGGTTTTAGCACATCTGTTAACTCCATAGTGCATAAATTTTAGCAATTTTTGCTGAATCTAGGATGGGGGAATTTTATTTATTGCATTCACAATGAAAATGAAGAGATGGGTGCAACTTCATGTAAATGCAACTTGCCTCTTTTTCAACTCCACCTTTACTTTAATGGCCAAAGCCACATCTATTTAACCATGTGGACTAAAGCTGCTTATCATATAGCTGTCAATGAATGGTTTAAATACAAGGTGAAAGTAATTCATCAATGCAGTTCTAATTATCTCTTCATTACTATAATAACATTACTAGGCTATTTTATACATTTGAATCCATTAGTTCCACAAGTAAAAGAAATAACATGCAGATGCTCATAGCAAAGTTGCTTTCCTTGTACACAAATCAGAAATTAGAGCCAAGCCGACAAAGAAATTTGTCTCAAATAGCTCCTAGTGAAGCTAATTTCACTGCACACAAAGCAGGAATTTTTTTTTTTTTAGGGGGAACGGGAAGGGGGAGGGAGAGGAAGACTTGAACCCTTGACCTCAAGAAGGCAAAGTCTTTACAAGGCAGCAGGAGTACCATTGAACCAAAGGCCCATCGATACAAAGCAGGAATTAGAGCCAAGCCGAACAAAGAATTTGTGGCAACTAATGAGAATCTATGGCCGTACCAGCAATGTCATAGGGGAAGCTTCTGCATCATCAATGCTTGCAAGAAGAAAAATCCTTCTAAAAAGTTCTCATTTTCATTTTTCAATTAATTGTCCAAGTCAGCATCCATAAATTAATCCATTAGATTCCCACGGATGAATGATGTTCATCCACAAAATTTCAAAGCTCTTTCTTAATATTATGAAGAAAAAAATTGACACAATTAGGCATTTCTTCAACTCACATGATTGTTCTAAAGTTGAGAAACTTCGTCATTGAACCTCCTTAAATGATCGATGTTTGAGTTTAATTAACAAAAGGCAATGCAGAACAAAAAGGTGTTCTCAGATACAGGTTGAATTTAAAGGAATCAAACAAGAATAGGAGGGGAAGAAACAGTCAGCATTAATAAAAGGTTCGATCACCTCGGTCCCAAGTCGCTTATTCAGAGCCTCATTCCACATATTTGCAGCATATGCTGGCTGCATTCTAGTCCACATATACATGCCAGATATGACCTGCAAACGGAGGCTGCTAATCAGAAATGCAAAGATCCCCACATCATAATAAGTAAATGAACAGCAACACAATAGTCTTAGAAAATCTATGCAAGTTATATACAGTCTCACTCACAGCAAGCTCTTTTTCGTACTCATAATTACAGAAGTAAAGCTTTTGGTTAAAACAGCAAGGCACTGTACACATCTTTGTTTACTTTTACATGCACACGAGCATGCTATGAGTAAAGCTTTTGGTTTAAACAGTAAGGCATTGTACACATCTTTTTGTTTACTTTTACATGCACACGAGCATGCAATTATAATGAGCACACATGGTGTAATAACAGAACTATAATCTCAAAGTTGTTGTGTCTGTTTTTTTTTTTTTTTTTTTTTTGGGGGGGGGGGGGGGGAACTTCAAAAAATCTCAAAGATAGGAAAATATTTCT